CGCACTCGCCCCCGCCTCTCCCAGGCCCTGCCCCGCTCCCTGCACCAGGCCCCGTGCTCCCTCCCGGCAACCCGCTGTCACTGGACACTAAGCGGGGAGGTCACCTCGCTGGTAGGCAGCCAGCCCTCGGCCTGCCAGGCTGCTGCTCTGCCCACGTATCAGGACAGAGGGCTTCCTGGGGGCAGCTTCCCCGGGTCAGGCCCGGTGTGGAGGGCACAGCGGCCCCGCACCTCCCGCTCGGCGAGATCTGGGCAGCCTCCCGAGTTTGTCTGTGATTGTCCACCTCTGAGCGCGAGCGCGCAGTGTCTGCCGCCCCCCAGCACCCGCACCTGCCCTACGGTTGCCGCTCAGTAGGAGCTGGACTGGACCTTTTCTCCCAGAGAAACTGGGCCACTGGGTGGGCCTTTGCATTTACTGCGTCCCCACCGCCCTGCTCTTGGAGCTCAGCTGGGTCACAGGCCTGGGGCGGCGGTCCTCCAGGGGAGTGGGGAGTGGAAACGTGGGGAGGACCGGAGTCCCCACCTTGCACACCAGGGTGGGCTTCCGGGGGGCTGGGGGGCTGGGTGGAGGCAGGTGTGAGATGGCTGGAGGCCAGGTGGGTGATGGGGTGGCTAGCGCAGACCAGAACTCGGTGCCCACCTGCATGGGGGGCTGGAGATGCGGCTAGAAGCCCAGCCGAGGGGGTCATCCACCATCAGGCCTCCAGGGGCCCGGTCAGCCCCTCAGGGGAGTGCTGCCGGCCCTGGGAGTGGCCGTGGTCCGGGCGGGCGGGAGCTCTGAGGTTCTGACTTTGCCTCCCTGGGCGGGAGGGGGGTTCTGCCCCGAGGGAATGAGTCAGCCCTTCCTGTTTCTGCAAATGGTCTTGCCGTGGGGCTCACCTCGGACCTCCCAGTGACCCTGGGAGGAGGAATTGCTCAGGGCCAGCCCGTGGGCTCCTTGGCTGAGGACCTCGGGGTGTGCTTAGTGCCATGGGCATGTCCTCTCCGGCGGGTTGGGGGGAGCCCCCTCGGCGCCGGTGCCGGTGCCGTGCTCCTCGGCAGCAAGGACAGACCTCGTGTTGGTCGGCGCAGCACAGGCCGGTCCTCGGCCCGGAGCCCCTGCCCGCGTGTGACCAGTTGGCTCACAGACCGGCTTGTCTGTCTGCTCTGCCCTCGCTGAGGCCCCGCCAGGAAACCTCCGGGCTCTGCTCCGGCCGGCCCTCCCTGGGCCCCCGGGTCAGCGGGCAGGTCCCTGTGAGAGCACCAGCACGTTTCACCTGTCGCCACACGGTGAGGTGGCCGGCCCGCGGGGCGGCATGTGCCGTGTGCAGCCCCCGGGGCCCCAGCGAGGGCAGGTCAGGGGCAGGGGGGACAGCAGTGCCCGGCCCGCAGGCTGGTGAACGGAAGGTCCTCTCCGTCCGTGTGGAAGGTGGGCCGGTCCCTGCGATGGGCGGTGTCATAGCCCCGGCAGGGTTGGCATTCACTCTAATTGTGGGGGATCCTGGGCTCAGCTGAGCTGCTCCCTGAAGGCTCTGAGCGCCCCTGCTCCAGACTGACAGCCTGCACTCCCCACTTGCGCCCTGGCCCCCTCTGTTCTCTCCTGGGGGGAGCAGAGGCAGTCCCAGCAGCGCCAGAGGCCCGTCGTGGCGGCTGGGACGGGGCAGGCGGCGTGAGCTTTGGACGGGAGGAGCTGCCGGCTCGCAGGCCTGCCTTGCTTTGTGGGCCTTTCATGGCTCCGGGGGGCCACTGCCCTCCTGTCTGCCCTCCGCACAAGGCCGAGGCTGGGGCGGCAGGACCTGGGCCTCCGGCGCCGCCGTCTGCCCTGAGCGCTCCCCAGGGCGCAGCCTTGACACGGTGCCCCGGCCCTTCCCACCTGCCCTGACTGTGTGTCAGGCAAACGCCGGCCCTCCTGCTTCCTGAGACTGGGTCTCTGGCCATGTCGCCAGGGCTTGGCCGTGGGA